TGCTGCATAAGATGTCTGCAATATATACTATTTTATCTTTTGGTACCCATAGTCTTTTGGGTCCTTTAGAATTAGTTTTCCCATATTTTATAATAAACTTAGGTTTTTGTGCAACATTGAATTTTTGTGTCTGTGCAGAAGGTTAGAGATAAGAAAAGAGAGATATAGGTTGGTTTTCTTCAGATGAGCTCTGATTATCATTATCACAAACATAACCAATTCCTTTTTTTCCATTATGACTTACACCATAGATCATGGAATCCATTTTGCTTCTTCCTATGTTGTTGCTCAAGAATTTTTGAAATGCCTTATCATATTTGTATAAGACGGTTTCAGAAGATGGATGTGTTTTAGAAAGAGTTTCTTCAAGTTTCAAACATTTCTTGTTCAGAAAAGAATTTTCTTTTTCTAAAATAAAATTGTCTCCTTTTTGCTCATAAACTTCTTTCTCTAGCTCACCATATTCTTCAATTTCATATTCATGAACTTTGTGAAGGTTCTTGAATTTTCATTGAAGTTTTTTATTCCTACTTAGAGATTCTGATAAACATAATTTTAAATTAGCACGAGAAAGTTCAGAAAATACCTCTTATGAGTCAGACTCGGTTTTTGTGGTGTCTTCTTCTGACGTGGTATCCATGAATGCTATGTTAGCATGCTCTTCTTCATACTCTGATCCTTCATAATCTGATGCATCCTATGTTTCCATGAGACCTTTCTTTTTACCATTGAAATTTCTTTTCTTGAAGCTTTCCTTTCTGGTGCTTTCTTTCTTGAGTGTTGGACATTCATTTCTGTAGTGTCCAGGCTCATTGCACTCGTAACATGTTACTTCCTTGCCCTTTCTTTATCTTACAAATGTTTCTGGTCGATCTCATCTGTTTTTGGATCCTCTAAAGTTGTTTTGCCTTTTTTCCAGAGTTTCTTGACTCTTCTGGACAGAAGGGAAAATTCATCTTCATCATCAGAAACTTCATCGTCAGAGACTTCTACTTCTTCAACTTGGAAGGCTTTGTATTTTTCTGACTTGGGTCTTTTTTATCTTAATCTTAAAGCAACATATTTTCCTCTTTTATGGTGCTCATGTTCCTCTAACTCTATCTTATGACTCTTAAGAGAACTAATTAACTCTTCAAGAGTTATGTTGTTCAGATTGTTAGCCAGTTTCAGCGCAGTAACCATTGGTATCCATCTCTTGGAAAGACTTCTGATGATCTTCTTGACATGATCAGTTGCGGAGTAACCTTTGTTCAGAACCTTAAGTCCTGCTACTAAGATTTTAAACCTTGAGAACATAGTCTCAACCGTTTCTTCTTCTTCCATCTTGAAAGACTCATATTTCTGGATTAAAGCCAGAGCCTTAGTTTCCTTGACTTGAGCATTGCCTTCACGTGTCATTCTTAACGAATCAAGAATATCCTTAGTTGTATCTCTATTGGTGATCTTCACATATTCATTGTAAGAAATAGAATTGAGAATAATAGTTATGGCTTTGTGATTATTCTTGAGATCACGCTTTTGTGTATCATTCATTATGTTTCTGGGAATGGGAATACCAATGCACTAACAGGTGCCTCATAGCCATTTGTGACAATATCCCAGAGATCAATATCATGGCCTAGAAAGAAACTTTGTAGTCTATCAATCCAGTAGTCAAATTCTCTCCATTAAAAACAGGAGGCTTAACATTATAACTATCTCTTTCGTTTTTGTTAGCAGTGGCCATTTAAGTTTTTCTCACATTAGACCTCTCTACACGGTTAAGTGTTTGATTGGAAAATAAATAGTAGAGCCAAAGCTATGATGTCAAAGGAAGTTTGAGAAAAACACAAGAAAAGGGGGTTTGAATTGGGTTTTCAAAAACTTTTTCTTTTAGAAGTTCTTCTCACAAACGATCAATGATAGACAAGCTAGAAAGAAAAATGACACAATCAGTTTATACAAGTTCACCTTAGAAAAGGCTACTCTTGTCCATCTGTCAAGGTGATTTTGCCTTAAAAAAGAAATTAATCCACTAATATTGAAAGATTATAAACAACATCTAACCCTCTCAAGTATACAGACTACAACTTAGTTAATTGAGGAAACAAATCTCAACAGATTTACAATCAAATAGTATTTACAATAGTGCTTCTAAAAAGCAGATTTAACACTACAATGAAGAACAAATGTTTACACACAAATATGAGAAACAACTCTTGTGTATACAACAATGATAATAACAAAATAATGAGCAACAACTCTTGTGTTATAGAGAATTAAAAAAATAATCAATAACTCTTTGTGTTGTGATTTTCTCTTGAGTATTTTCTCTCTTGAATTTCTTTGCATAATAACTTTTCTTTTCAAATTTCTTGATAATGAATCATTGGTTTTCAATGAAGTAGTCATCCCTTTATATAGGCTAAGAAATTAGATCATTGGATAGTACAAAATGTCACTTTCATTTGCCAGTTACTACAACGGTAGCGTGTGATCGTGAGAGACAAGAGCACAACAAATCTTCAATCGTACAAAGTTTTCTTCACCATAATGGAATAGGTCTTGTACTGTTGTAATATATTCTTTTTGTGCAAGTTTCTAATCTTTTTATCTGATGAGATACTTGTGATCTGAAGTAGTGAAGAGAGTGTAGAAGAGATCACGTCTTTGCTCTTTAATCTTCTGATGGAGTATTTCTGATGGGAGATGATACATATTCCAGAAGACGTTTCATTGTAATGTTTCCAAAGGTATATGAGTCTTCTAAATCAGAACCTTGTCTTCAGACTTGGAGTAACAACTTATTTGACAATTAAATCTTGATATTTGAGCTGGAAGCAAAAGTTTATTTGATGAAGGATATCTTTGGTTTCTAAGCTTGAAGCAAAAGCTTACACATAAATTATTTTCTTAGAAACACATCTTGATTTCTGAGCTGAAATTAAAAGCTTACACATAAATCCTTTTCATAGAAACACATATTGACTTCTCAGCTGAAAGAAAAAGCTTATATGAGAAATGCATCTCGGTTTCTGATCTGGAGTAAACATGTATATTTTGTTCTAGCGAACATTTAACATTCTTCAGAACTGTTGATGTTTCTTGAGAAGTGATTATAATAGTTCTTCTGATGGTGCCAGCAATGATTCTAATGATCTTATTCTGAATCAAATAAAATATTATTTTTGTAGACTTAAAGAAACTATTAGAATACAAAATTGTTGCGTATAAAATATATGCATTGTTATCATCAAAACTAGAGATTAGATGCAAAACAAAATCTTATTCTAATAACATGGTCTTGATGCCATAAACCATTTTGAATAGTGCCTCTTTATGGGAGGAGTGAGGTGATGTATGATAAGACCACAAAGAATATGCCTTATTAGGAGTGATATTTAAGAGGGACAATATATATCACTGACGAGAAATATGAAGTAAGACAAAATTAGATCATAAAAATTGAAAAAAATGAGTGTATCTCATGTTACTATTTAGACCGTATGCCTTTAACTTTATCAAGTTTCTTTTTGATTCCACAAAGGATAGCCTTATTGGCTAATTCAGCCTTTCTGTTAGCTTGGGGATGACCATTGAGACAAACTTTATTTCAACCCCGAGCTGATGGTAGATTTCTACTAAGTTGAGGTGGAGAATTAGGTCCCATTATCTGAGATGATACATCTGGACAGCTTGAATCTATAGATTATCCGCTTCCAATAGAAGCATAGTACTCTTTTTGTCATGATCTAGGATATTGTCTCTGCTTATATCCATTTGATGAAGTAATACACGCCCACGAGCAGGAACTTCAGTTGCTCTGGCATCAAAGGAAATGGATGTATATCAAGTGACTCCAAAAATAAGAGGGTTGAATTATGATATTTGGATTTCCAAAAAATTGATTTACAAAAAGACTTTGATTTAAAATTGTTTATGTTAGAAAAGATAAATAGACACAAATGAGCCCAACTCAATAACCTTCACCCAAGCTTCTTACAAGTTTAGTATGCAACCTTCAAATATATTACAAAGAGATCACAAGAGAACTACGAAATTGAAAAAGTAATTACATAACACTAGTATAACACAACTCTCAGATGAAATTTTTCACTCTCTTGACACCAAGGAAATTCTTGTGAAAAAAACTTTGTAAAAGAATGAAAGAAATAATGATAGAAGAAAGTTCATAGTCAAAAAATTGGTGTGTTTTAAAGTGAGAAGAATCTTCTTTTTGAAATTTTTTTTTTACTAAAAATAATAATTTATGGGTCGTTTCACACTTTTAATTGATTATAAAGATGTATTAATCGATTAACTTAACCCAAAAAAACTTTGATTTTTGATGTCACTTAATCGATTACAACGCATTACACGTTGATTTAATCAATTAGAATTGACTCTTAATCAATTATCCAATGTACTTAGCTTTCTTAATTAGTCAAACAAGTTACCTAATTATTTAAGCAATTGTCCATATTAATTTTAAGAACTTATATAAAAAAAGATGAGAAATTTGAAATACTTTGATTGTGTATGTGTTTGCATTCTTACTAATCAAACATGTTACTTAATTGTTTGAATGGCCTTAATACCTCAACTCATTCTTGCTTCATTTACAATTAGCTAATCAAATATTAGATAAAACAATAATCCCAAAATTAGACGGATTTTCACACTTTCATATCTCCGGGTTCTCATTTGCTTGATTAAATTTTATCTACCACTATCAACTAGAAGTTAAAACATTTAGCTGATGATCCGTCAAATATCTCTTATTTGTTTAAATGTCATCATTTGGAACCATTTGAAAAATTGTTATCAAGAAATAGAATTTGAGAAAAATACACTAACCTCCCCTAAACTCTATCTATATGCAACTAACACCCCCTCTATTTTCATATAAAATGGTTGTCTATGTCATTTAAAAAGAAGGAAACAAAACTAACCCGGAAAATACACATTCATCCTTCCATCATCATTACAAACCAAGAACTAGCAAGCATATCCTCAAACTCATGCCTCCTCCAATTCCCACATTCTCTCAACTTTCTCAACCTCATCATACCCTAATCAAAACTCCCCTTTTCACCATCAAATCCAACAATAACAATACCATCAATATCAAACCAATTAACCCCTCTCTTCTAACCACACACTCTTCCTCTCTCACTAATTCCTCCATCAAACAATCAACAAACAATCTTATCGATTTCAAGGACAAAACAACTAGGTTCCGACTCAAAAACCTCCTACGAAGCATCACATCTTTATCCTCGTCCAAAAACAAAACCCACATACTAGAACAAATCCTAGAGAAAGATGATACTATCTTTCAAATTCAAACCATATCAGATTTCAATCACCTTCTCATGGCACTAGTCATTGCACAAGAGCCGGAACTTTTTCAAACAATTTTCACAAAGTTACCATCTTTTCATCTTGTTCCAGATTGTTGCACTTACTCCATCATGATAAGGTGCCACTGTGAGAAAAACGATGTTGATGAAGCAAAAAGACTTCTTTTTACTGTTTTGGAAAATGGGTTTGAACCAGATGCTGCAACCATCACTGTTTTAATAAATTCCCTTTGCAAGAGAGGGAAAGTGAAGAAAGCTATGGAGGTTTTTGGGTTCATGGAGAGAAAGGGTTTGAAGCTTGGTGTTCAAGCATATAACTGTTTGTTGAAAGGGTTTTGTTATGTGGGAAGGGTTGAAGAAGCAGTTGAGATTTTGATGAAAATGAAGGAGAGAAATTTAGGGTTAGTGGGGGTTTTGGGGGTTGATATTTATTCTTACAGTGCTGTTATGAATGGGTTATGCAAAGTGGGTCGTTCGGATGAAGCAATGAGGTTGTTCAATGAAGCTATTGAAATTGGATTGATACCGAATGTGGTTATTTTTAACGCGTTGATTCAAGGGTATTCGAGAGAAGGTAGACCGGTTGAGGGTGTTGGTGTTTTGAAGATGATGAAAGAACATGGTTGTGTTCCTGATTGTATTAGTTATAGTACTGTTTTACATGGATTGTTGAAGTGGGATGAAATTGTGGGGGCGCTTTGGGTTTATAAGGAGATGGTGGAGATTGGATTTGAGGTTGATTTGAGGATGGTGGGGACTTTGGTGAGACGTTTGTGTAAGAAATCGTGGAGGGAAAAGTGTTTGCTTGAGGATGCGTATGAAGTGTTTGAGAAAATGAAAGAGAAGGGTTTAGTGGTTGGTAAGAGGACAATGGAGGTGATGGTTGAGGCATATTGTAGGGGGAAGAAGTTTGATGAGGCTTTGGTGAGTTTGAATGATATGGTTAGGTGGGGTTATTCTCTTGAGGCGATTTGTTTTGAGAAAGGGATTAGAGGACTTTGTAGGCAGGGTAGAGTGGATGAGGCAGTGTCAAGTTTGGTCCTTTTGCATGCAAATGGAGGGATTCTTGATAGAAATTGTTTTGAGGTGTTGGTTAATGAACTTAATGCACTTGGGAGAGTGTTTTGTGGTTCTGTTTTGTTTGGTCTAGCATTGAAGCAAGGTGTTGTTCTTGTTCGCGATAAGGACGTGCAAGCTGATAAAAGGTGTTAGCAAACATTTCTTAAATGCAATGAAAGTAAGAAGATCAATGAATGATATCAAAGTAGTTTGTTTTGTCAATTTCATGCAATAGCATCAATGAATAATCAAGTTGATTCAATTGAATAAATAAATTTGTATTTAGTTTTCAATTGGATTGCTATAACTTACAGCAGCTAAATGTTGTTGATAAAAGAACTATTGCTAAAATAACTTATTACTAAATTATTAAATGTTGCTGATTTAATTGAATAATCAATTTGATTCATTTTCTAAATGCTGCAAAATGGTATTTGATTCAATTGAATAAATCTGTATCTAATTGTCAATTTCATGTACTGCTGCTACTAACTACTGATAAATCTGTATTTTGCAATTTCAATTTAATCTGCTAAATGTTGCTGCTACTTACAAATACGTGTCGCGGGGAAAAATCAAAAAGACCAAGTTATTGAGGAATTTGACTCACAAAGACTTAAGAAGTCACCATCGAATTTTATTGTTTCTAAGAAAAGGAGAAAAAATCGAAACCCTATTGTTTAACATGCAATGCAAGATAGTGTAAACTAAAAGCAAAGCATAAATGAAATATATTAGCGACCTATGTATCTATAGTACTATATAGGAACCACTTATAATATCTGTTTTTGGTTTAAAATTGTTTGTTTGCTAAATGAGTGTGGAGATGGGAAAAGAAATATATTTTAGGATATTTTTGTTTGGAAAGACATAGACTTATACTTACGTACAAATTAAGGATCAAAACCTCGTAGTTCGCGGTAAGAATAACAAAAAGGTTTGTTGTGGTTGATTTTTTTAGGAAAAGAGATATTACATCATCTTTTAAAGAGAAAGCTCAACTAATACCACACAAGTATGAGAAGATGAATCTTGCATCATCGTGAAGGAATGACTACTAACTTGGATATAAAGATCAACAAGTTGCCAACTAACATCTTCATATGGAAAGAATCACATTTTACTTCAACAATTACTATGGGTATAGGAGAATCATATCTCACCTACAAAGAGGATTTATATCTAATCTCTTTGAGAAAATGTTTTAAATTGAAAAGCCAAATGGCAAAAAGATTTGAGTGAAGTTGAATCACTTTTAGCCTTTTGAAATTATTTTGATAAGATTAAGTATATTAAAGCATTTATTAAACAAAATAAGTTTGAAAATGCAATGACACAAAGTCAAGGTTTTTATATGAAAGTGGTGAAAGTTTGAAAATGATTTTTTAAGGTTAAGAGGTTTTTAGAGTACAGGAAAATACATAGGGTAAACACTCACAAGGATTTTTATATAAAGGGGAATGCACATGCTTATGACTATAAAGTCAACAATATTATCTTTTCCTTGGATTTTTTAGGGCACAAGTATTTTAATATCAATTACAAACTCACACATCACAAGAGTTGAGCACAAATGGGAAGGTTAACATGCTTATCAAGTAAAAGTTATGATAAAAGATAAAATAAACAATCAAGTAAACAAGCAAGCAAGATATCACTTTTGATTTTAAAGGAGTTTATGAAGGAAATACATCCTTATAGGGCAAGTAATCTCAAGGCACATGGATAAACAATAAAAGGGATCAAAGCATATGAAGTTTGAAGTCATGGGTTATGGATTAGGGTTTTTGAACAAGTTATGGTTTAAACATCAAAAAGTCAAGTCCTAAACCTAATTAAAATCAATTTTTTTCATGGTACAAATATACACAAGGTCGTGTTATCAAACAACATTCCTTGGTGACATGACATGGTTATTTAACATGAGTTTATTCAAGAAAATTAACAAGAGAAAGTCAAAGAAAGGGTTTTTAAAACAACCAAAAATGACTTTTTTTGAATTAAATAAAAAAGAGATGAAATAAATAATATTTTTTGGGATTTTTCACATTTTAATAAAATAGGATAAATAAATAAGGAGCGTGCAAAAAATAAACTCAAAATGAGTTGTTTTGATGAGTGAAAATAATTAGTGAAGTTTGATAAAAAAAACAAGAAATTAGTGATAAAAATTAAGGAAAAGGCCTAGCAAGAGTTGAACCCACGCCCTCAGATTTATTGGTTAAAAGATCTACCACTGGCCATACGCTATGCCTTGTGAAAAAGGTGCACTTAGTTAAAAATATTTGAAACAAACTTTAGAAAAATCACAAAAAATATGAGAAATCGGCATAAATGGAGTTCACACTGGTTCAAACCCTCGCCCTTAGTGTCATCAAAGCCTTAGCGCACACATTTTTGCCACTGGGGTGACTGTTATATCCGTTCATTATATTGCAATTAATTAAGATAAAATAAACTAAGTTTCTAAAAAAATGATTTTTCGTGCCTCACCCTTCTTCTTCTTCGCGAACGAGCAACAACAATAACAACAATGGTAGAAATTTTAACTTCCTCATTTCTCAACCATTTCAAAAACTTCAAACATCAAAGTTGCTTGGTTTTGGACGAGTAATTTAACCATACTAACCATTTAAATTAAAACTCAAATATTAACAAGAATTTATATCAGTACCAAAACGAAACCTAATTGTTCAGTTTTACAATTCTCTTCACACAAGCAAAATTAATGAAAGATAACTATATGGTTATCTTCGGGACAATCATATCTACATTTTATCTTTAGAAATTGAACACAAATGATGTATGTATGATGATTTTCGAAAGAGGTCAGAATTTACCTCTTTAGAGAAAAGTCCAAAGCTTCTTCTATGGATTTTTAGTGCAAAGTGATGATCATTTGAATTTGTTGGGACCTTCCTGAAACTATTCCAATCCTTATTTTTCCCTGAAGCTTGCTGAAACGCCCTAACCACCTCAAGTTGCAAGCCACAGTTTTGTGAGTTGGAGGATGGTGATGATGGTGTTACATAAGTGAAATAGGGGTTTGGATGGCCTCTATATGATGTTTATGAAGTGTTTGTATGGTTAGATTGTATAAAACATGCAAGGTTTGAGAATTTCGAAGAAAATATTTTCAAGATTCAAAAATGGAGTTTTGAACAAATTCTGAATTTTAAGAGTTTGGAGGTGTTGCTAAGCTGTGAATTGGTGTTTTTGAAGTGCAAATGAGCTCTCTATATTTTTAGAGAAAACTCAGAGGTAATGAGATGGACAAGTTCTAAAGTTATCAAGTTATGGCTTGGCTCAAATTCAAAGATCAAGTTATATGAAATTTCCATGGTTCCAATGCAGAGTACAAAGATTTGATGGTATAGAGAGGTTGTTTCCTTGTTTTAGGATGGAGTGTGATCAGAAGAAAGCAAAGGTATGGGCTCAAGGAAGACTTTGTACAAAAATCTTAATTTTCAAGAATGACAATGATGTCTTTCTTCCTAAAATGACAAATTAATTGGACAATAGCTTGTATCACCTGGACAAAGGCTCGAAAGCTTGTGTACTCTTCTAATTTTGGATACATTTAGAGGTACTATGGCCTGAAAAGTGGGATTTTATAGCATGGATTGTTTTAATGAAGTGAAAAACCCTAATTGATCAAGACTTGTTTTGATGAAGACCTCTTGATTTAAAAACTTGCTTGACACAAGGAGCAAACACACAACTATTTTTGTATTTTGTTAGAGATGTAATGATGCATATGAAGTGAGATCTTAGGTAAAAAATTAGGGTACAACAAATGCCCCTATTTAAGCTTCTTCTATCAAGAGATGTGAAGATCGTAGCTTTCATCTCGACGCGATGGGAGGTACTTAAATATAAAATGCACAATTTTTGGCCCTAATATACTATAACAGAGAATGTGCCTAAGTGCGAACAAGATATAACCAGGAATCCTCAAAGGTATAATAACAACCTTACTGGGGAGAAGGAAAAAAACAATAGTAGAGAAACCAATCTTACTGGAAAAGATTAACTTAATTCACCAGGAGAAAGAAACTCAATTCTACTAGGGAAATTCCCAAATAAGAGGAAAAGAAAACAAGATAGCATAATCTCAATGATAACACTCGGCTCATGGATGAAGGTGGACTAACAACTCTAAAGAATCAGTTTTTTTAATCAAGCTTTCTTCTAAAAGGATAACAATGAACCTCCCCGTGACGAACGAGTCTAAGTTTCTTCTTTAATCGAGGTTTCCATTTGAAAAGGGTAACAATAAACTTCCCCACCAAGAACAGGTCTCAGTTTCTTCTTTGATCAAGTCTTCCACTTTAAAATGGTAACAATAAACTTCCTCACGACGAACGGGTATCAATTTCTTCTTTAATCAAGTCTTTCACTTGAAAAGGATAACAATAAACTTCCCTATGAATAACGGGTCTCAGTTTCTTCTTTAATCAAGTCTTCCACTTGAAAAGGGTAACAATAAACTTCCCTGCGATGAACGGGTCTCAGTTTCTTCTTTAATCAAGTCTTCCACTTGAAAAGGGAAATAAAAAATATCCTTAAAAGATAACCACTTGTATAAAGTTTTCACAACAAACTATCTCTATCATATTGAAGAGATTAACCATCCATTGGAGCAAATAACAATTTTTTCAATGAATTATCTCTATCATATCAAAGAGATTAACCACCCATTAAAGTAAATAACAATCTTCATAACGAACTATCTCTATCATATCGAAGAGATTAACCATCCATTGGAGTAAATAACAATCTTCACAACGAACTACCTTTATCATATCAAAGAGATTAACTGTAACACCTTATTTCCCCGTCGGTAAATTATATAAAATCAAAGTAAATTAATTTCTAAATAAACATCAACAAAATAGGATGTCACATACTTTGCAAGTCACACATGCTCAAAATTAGGATACGCAACACAATTCGCATGCTATTAAGTCTTAAACTTTAATGCATATATTTGTCATGGAAAAACATCAAATAATTAGTCATCTCTATCCTCCAACCGAAGTTATAATTATTATCTTTCACACATCAACATAATCATAAAACAATTCAAATAATGGAGCAATACATGTTCACTCCTAACATAACAAAACAAATCACGTGAAACCCCCAAGTGT